CATCTGATGAGGAAAAATAAGCATTCTTTGTAAGTGGGAAAACCTGCGAAAGCAGCAAGGGGTCAAATACTTATTTCCCCCACTGTACATACATACATACATACATACATACATACATACATACATACATACATACATACATACATACATACATACATACATACATACATACATACATACACTTAAGTACCTAAGTACATACATACATACAGTGATGATAAATGTAATATTGTGTCTACTCTGTAAGTCGCTTTGGATAAAAGCGTCTGCCAAATGCACAAACATAAACATACATACATACATACATACATACATACATACATACATACATACATACATACATACATACATACACACACACACACACACACACACACACACACACACACACACACACACACACACACACACATACGTACGTACAAACATACATACAAACATAAGTCACCACTGACTCTGATCAGTGTTTCTCCTCTGTATAGCTTATTGTCATAGTGATGATAAACTTAATATTGTGTCTACTCTGTAAGTCGCTTTGGATAAAAGCGTCTGCCAAATGCATAAACATAAACAACATAAACATAAACATAAACATGAACCTGTGCAGGTCGTCGGGGTCACAGTTGCTCAGGAACGCGGCGACGGCGTCGGCCACCTCTCTGCTGGACAGCACGTCCCACAGCCCGTCGGTGCCCATCACCAGCACGTCGTCGGCCCCGTGCTCGTACTGCCACAGGTCATACACCCTCACCTGCAAAAAACCCAACGCCAGCCATTAGCTCCCGGCCAATCAGGGCACAGAACAGACCTCTGCCCACCAACATTAGCAAGAAACACCCAAAAAAACCTGTCAAAATGTAGGTACAGAAGTGAATAAAATCAATTAAACTTTAAAAAATCTAACCAAATAAATCTAAAACTAATAAATCAAATATATTGTTATTAAATAATGGAAATAGACTGATACATATTTACTTTAACCAAGAACTATATGAAATATTGAGTCATGTCAATTAAAATTTATCTCAAAATTAAAATGATCTCTTAAAAATGAGCTTTTGTGTCATTTAAATTGACAAAAATATGATAATGAATACATTTAATAAATTAATATATCTTAAGATGAAGTAAATAAAAAAAAATCAGTATCAATTGTCAACTTTATAACAAATTCAAATTGTTATTAACCAACTTATTTTTCAACTGACGTGATAAAACATGGGCCTTCACACTGACCACTGAAGGGTAATTTAAACCCAAATTTAACTTCACAAGTTACTCAACCTTCCTCATTTTAAACCAGAGGGATGACGGCTCCTTCTCAGAGGAGTCTATTAAGACTAAATAGTGACTTTATTCCCGTCAAAATGTATCTACAGAAGTTAATAAAATCAAATAAACTTAAAATCTACCCAAATAAGACTAATAAATCAAATATATCGTTGTTAAACAATCGAAATAAACTGATAAATATTGGTATTAACCTATAACTACCTCAACATATGAAATATTGAGTCATATTAATTAAAATTTAGCTTAAAATTAAAGTTATCTCCTAAAAATTAGTTCTCGTGTAATTTAAATGGACTAAAATCTGATGTTGAATACATTTAATAACTTCATATTTCTTAAGATGAAGTCAATTAAAAAAAATTCAGTATCAATTGTCAACTTTATAACAAATTAAAATAGTTATTAACCAGCTTTGGCCCTCAGACTGACCTCGGGGCAGCAGGACAGAAACGGTTTGATGTAGATGTTGGAGTCGTGGACTTTGAGGTCGTGGTCCCCGAGGCCTCTGGTGACCCCGATAGTGGCCAGAACCCGGGCCTGGAAACACAAACCAACCCAGATCTCACCGAGAACGACTGCCTGTAGGAGCCTCGGGTCGATATCCGACTCCTCCCACATCCAAGGCGGCCATTTTGATTAGGTCATGTGACTAGCAGCTTTCTGAGGTGGAAACGAAACTTTACTGTCTATACGAAATCGGAAGAAAAACGATGTCCGGACACCAACCTTAAATCTAACCCTAAACCTAGCCCTGACCCTAACCCTAACTCTGACCCTGACCCTAAACCTGACCCTAAACCTAACCCTAAACCTAACCCTAACCCTCTAACCTGATCCTCACCCTAACCCAAAACCTAACCCTAACCCTAAACCTAACCCTGACCCTAACCCTCCACTTCTTTCCGTAATATCTGGCACAATAGAGCATTGCCTCTATTATCATTATTATTATTATTGTGAAAATTAGAGCTGAGTTAGGAGGAAAATAGCAGAAAATGTGAATTTATTTAGCTCTGGTTCTGATCGGTGACATCACGGGGTCACATCAGAGACCGATGGTGAGTTTTGTTGAATATTATCATGTTAGTGAGTTTAAGCTGTCATCAATAGAAATATCGGGGGTGTTTTTGGAGGAAGAGGCTGGCAGATGAGTCGATAAAGGATTTGTTCATTCAAAAGTAGACGTTTACCTTTTTTCCCTCGCCGTATATCAGAGGAAACTTCAGGTCATCGTCCTCGATAGTCTTGTACGCCCTGTTTGACAGGAAAAGGCAAAAAACTGGTAAAAACAAAGACTTTCTTTTCTCTTTACGCACACTTGTATGACTTTAATCTCAGAGATCCTCATTATAACTATTCATTTAGGTAATATATATATTCTTATTAGTATTTTCTACATTAAAAATAACCCCACGTGACGCTGGCCAGCTTTAAATGTGCGTTGTTGTGCTACCACTTTTGACCACTAGAGGGAGACATCGCCTTTAAAATCCACTTTTGTAAAGAAACTGCTTTAGTTTTTTCTATATTTTTTCTTTAGTTTTTTCTATATTAAAAATCAACCCCACGTGACATCGGCCAGCTTTAAATGTGCTTTGTTGTGCTACCACTTTTGACCACTAGATGGAGACATAGCCTTTAATATCCACTTCTGTAAAGAAACCGCTTTAGTTTTTTTATATATTTTTTTCTTTAGTTTTTTCTATAGTAACAATCAACCCCACGTGACATTGGCCAGCTTTAAACTTGCTTTGTTGTGCTACCACTTTTGGCCAATAGAGGGAGACATAGCCTTTGATATCCACTAATGTAATGAAAATGCTTTAGTTTTTTTATTAGTTTTTTCTTTAGTTTTTTCTATATTAAAAATCAACCCCACGTAACATTGGCCAGCTTTAAACTTGCTTTGTTGTGCTACCACTTTTGGCCAATAGAGAGAGACATAGCCTTTGATATCCACTAATGTAATGAAAATGCTTTAGTATTTTTATAGTTTTTTCTTTAGTTTTTTTCTGCTTTAGTTTTTTCTATATTAAAAATCCACGCCACGTGACATCGGCCAGCTTTAAACGCGCGTTGTTGTGCTACCACCTTTGGCCACTAGATGGAGACATAGCCTTTAATATCCACTTTTGTAAAGAAACTGCTTCAGTTTTTTCTATAGTTTTTTCTTTAGTTTTTCCATATTAAAAATCAACCCCAGGTGACATTGGCCAGCTTTAAACATGCGTTGTTGTGCTACCACTTTTGGCCAATAGAGGGAGACATAGCCTTTGATATCCACTAATGTAATGAAAATGCTTTAGTATTTTTATAGTTTTTTCTTTAGTTTTTTTCTGCTTTAGTTTTTTCTGCTTTAGTTTTTTCTGTTTTAATTTTTTCTGCTTTAGTTTTTTCTTCTTTAGTTTTTTCTATATTAAAAATCAACCCCACTTGACATCGGCCAGCTTTAAACGTGCTTTGTTGTGCTACCACTTTTGACCACTAGAGGGAGACATAGCCTTTAATATTTATTAAGAGGGAGGCAGGGATGGAGGAGCCCTACCAGCCGCTCATGGTGAAGTCTCTGTAGAGCATCCTCTTGCCCACCTCCTTCCTCTGGACCCTCCGGGGGAATTCCAGGTGTGTGAACTCGTTCCCCAGCAGGTAAGGCTGCATGTAGCCCTTCAAAGGAAGCAGCAGGGGTCAGAGTCAGCCTCAAAACGCAGCAAAACAAATTTAACATTCCACATTTTTTGCTCTAATATCACTGAAATCGATCCAAAACTAAAATCAGTGATATTCTGAGCTGTAAATCAAGCTTTTCTGTATTAATAGGAATAAAAAACAGGTGTGTTTTTACACAAATAAACATAGCAAATGCAGATTTTGAGAATTTCTGAGACTCAGATGGTCAGTATTTTCTTATTTTGGGGTCTTTTTCTTTACATTTCTTTCAGTTTCACGTCTAAAAACCAGCTGTTTCCATCAATTAGGGTCAAAACTACCATTTTACGTGCAGGTTTTTGCTTCGAATCTATATAAAGATGTTCACAGAGACCAGCTTTTTTTTATGATAACTTTATTTCTCAGGCAGATTTATTTCACTGGGGGATTAAACTTTCTTTACAAGCTCCAAACCAAAGTGATTTAGAGTTTGACCCTGTTTAAAATGTTGAGCTGACGGGTTTTCAACCTGTTTTCATTTCTGAAATCAGGCTCTTGAAGTCCTTATTCAGCACCTTTTTGCTGAATCATGTTTAGGTGGTGGTTGAATAATAAAGATTGACTTAAATAAAAAATGGCAGATGGGGAAAATATGTCCGTAAGCAGCCAAAATCATCCAAACTGTTATGTTTTTGTGGCTAAACCTTTGTATAGTTTTTTTTTTTCCACATTCTTTCATTTCAAACTTGGATTTTGTCATTTTTTTGCCCTGTTTTTGCTGTTTCAGTCCCATGTTAAGCTGCTGGGACTCGGTTTTCCCTGATGGATTCATCCTACATCAACTCAACTCAATGTTTCTTTTTGCAATTAATATTCATTTATGTTTCTTTTGTAATAACTCAATAATGCAATAATATGTATATATATGATCTTACCCTGTATATATCTAGCTCTCAGTTACAGAAAACATATTTATTGAGTAGGAATAAGGTCTTAGCTCTGTTACACTGGTAGCCAAGTAATCAACATTTCGTTGTCAAGATTCACCTGGTGTTTTTTGTACAATGACAATAAAGCAAGTCTAAGTCTAAGTCTAGATGAGGTCACATCTGAGTGGCTGATGGTTAACTCATTGATTGCCAAAGACGTCTATAGACGTCTTTTATGTTTTTCAACGAGAGTGGCTGGGGGACGATCTGCTAAAGCTTGTCCGTAAATATCGGCTTCTAGGCAGAGTATGTGGTAACAAATTGACCCTCTAGGGGGCAGTGCCACTTTTGATGGGAGATGAGCATAGACTGTAGGCAAATAAGAAAAAGGTAACGGTTCTATGAGAGAACATGTCGCCGGTGAGACGCAAGTCCAGGAAGAACGGAATAAGGTAGAAACCCTTTTTCTTTCCTGATGAAAGAAGAGAGTCTATTCTTTCTTTTGGTGTGTTCGGTGTTTACATAGTCATAGCACAAACTATTCTGTGGCTCTGGAAAAATCAGTCAAAATGCTCCAAAAACTCTGGCAGTATGGGACTCTGTTCTGAAAACGGCTGGCAGTCAATGAG